CACTATCGTGCAGCGCTGCCACCGAGGGCCATAGACGAGGACACCGAGGGTCGGGACGGAGCAGGCATATTCACGGCTCCCTAAGCATAAGGGGCCGGCCGGCGTGAGAACTCCGTCACTGGAGCAGGCCCACAACAACAACAACACCCAGAGAATCCCAGCGTTCCCGAGGCGCATCCCCAGGAACAACACGACGTCCCATCTCCCTTGCCCCCGGACCCCAAGGTCACACCCCGAAGTGCCGAGGCCAAAGCCCCAACGCGATTAGGGTCTTGCCGCTCCAAGACCGAACATCGCCATGACCACTAACGCTCCACACACGCTCAGAGGGAGCGGTGCCCCTGAACGCTCGTGAACATTTCCGCGGAAAAGACTACCGAATGTAGTCCGGCTAAGACCGGCATGGGCCCTTGGACTATTATGCTGGCCACGCTGACAGTACTTTCCGTGCTGACCGTGTTTATTATGTTAGTATTGTCTTCTTCTGAAACTCAAAACCCTGTGATTCACGCCATGACACGCATTAAACGCAGCCTTGCTTCCGACGACACTGCTTGGTTGGAGGCCTTGAGTAAATCCTACAAACACTCTACAGTTTATTCACTCAACCTTTGGTATCAGTATGCAAAATACGTCGCAGATAGCCACAATAGATCCAATTGCTACGTATGCACCCACCTTCCTATAGCCGCCGCTAACCCCCACATAATCCCCTTACCGGTGCCAAATATTTCCAAAATCATCCCTCACACCCTGGTTTCAATGTCCGATCCCAGGTCTCCAGCAATGTTTTTTGCGGTGCCCCCAAAACTCAAGCCCCTTGCCCAGGGAGAGCTGCGTCTCAAATCCGGCAGCCACCCGGGGGAAGAGCCAATCTTCGGCCCAGTGCACATCAAACCTGGCTCCAAATTTATATGCTACACCCACTCCTGGTCTCGGGCCAACACCAGTCTTACTCTCCCGAAAGAGCCCATTCATGTGGGAAATATCCCACTTGAGTTCTGCTCTATTGTATATAGCCCCTGCACATACATGGCCAACAGTAGCAAACTTAACGATTCCCAGGCAGCCCCGGGAAGCGTGTGTGCCCCGTACTATACGGTACCAGACATTTTAGGAACGCGGCCCGTAGAGTCTCACATGTATCTGTGCGGATATCGCATGTATGACTGTCTGCCCGCAAGATGGGAGGGACGCTGTGCGGCCGCCCTTCCTGCCGACCATTCGTACATCATCTCCACACTCCCTAAGGCCCAACACCGAGACAAGAGAGAACTCTACACACCACACGACCCCCTGTGGGGCACTAATGTACCCGATGACCACAAATTATGGACCACAGGTCAGAAAATAATGTTAGCATTATTCCCCAGCCTAGGTGTAGGTAAACTAATGCTAAGGACGGAGACCCTGAGCTATAGGTTCTCAGGTTTTGTCAATACCACAGTGGCCATACTTGAATCACAGAGAGTTGAACTTCACGACCTACGTGCCGTTGTTCTTCAGGACCGGTTGGTCCTGGACCACCTGACCGCGTCTGTGGGAGGCGTATGCACGATCATTGGGTCGTCCTGCTGTACATATATTCCGGCTAATGATGAGGACGGAGGTCTTATCCAACAGGGCATAGCCAATCTGACTAGACTCCGGGACGCCATGCAAGCGGACAATGTCACGGACACTCCTCACGGTCTGGACTGGCTCCTGTCCTCCTGGCGGAGTGTGCTCATTAATCTTGGTTTAGCCCTATTGACTGTTATGATTTTATTTTCATGTGTATTACCTATGGTGTTTCGGGCCGTTGGTAAAATGATATCCACTCACTTTGTGTCCATTCAATACAAAGACCCTGAGGCGGACCTGGCCGCTGTCCCACTGAACCCCGATCCTGATTATATCAGCGATTCGGACGACGACTTTGTCTAACGTTTTTCTTTTTTGTTTACCTTGTTTTTATTTTTCCACTTGTTCCGCCTACAATTTAGGGGGAGGGTATCACAGTGAAGAGCTTTGACCACACCCTCGTAATACAAGAGGCTTGGGTGACGGCAGCGTAGCCTGTCCATCAACAACTCTTGTTTTGCTCAGGGACCAAGGTCAAAACTCACCCACCTGAATGTGATTTCTGTAAAACTGGGGTTTCTACATTATCACGGGAGAGGAGTGTTATGGCAAGTTGGTTAGCCTCAAGGACGCCAACTCACCCCCCGCTGTTCTATTCAATTAACCTGCAGGAAGGAACCGGTCTCCCCCCTGCACCGACAGACATGACGCAAATTACTATCTCACCTTAGCCCCTTTTGCATTTTGCATCTCTATCGGTCCGTATGTCTGCATCTCTATGTCCCTTTTACATTCTGCATGTCTATTGTCCCTTCTGTTTGCATCTCCATGGCACAAAGATTGTCTCTCACCAGGCAAGGCGCCCCGCCATCTGGATGCCCGTCTCAAACTGTGACCCCTCCCACCTTTTGTGGGCGTGACTGTCTTTCATGTGTTGCCTATGTAAACGGGGACTGGCCCCGGCAGAGCTCACGATGCAAGACTGTATGTCGGCTCTCCGCATATATATGTGTAAAATAAATGTGTTTACATCTTTGATTTAAGACAAATACCTTTCCAGCTTTTTCCTTTATTGGGGTATGTAATTCCACAACACACCTTAAATGCATTTGTGAGTTATTTTAATGAATACATACACATCTTTTTTTATTTGCTTTTACAGAAATTGGTCTTTACTGTAACATTCATGAATAATGTATGTTACAGTATTTGTCTTTTTTATATTTTTTTATTACTAATAAGAATGCATTAGGTCCTTAACCAGCCAAAGAGTTCCACCTATTTATTCAATTTCATTTTTGACTAAGGATTTGTTTTTTTTATATGTAGTCAATAAATTACAATCTAAAAACTGTGATTATGAAATTCCATGATTACTGTGTAGACTGAAATTAGGACTAAAAAGTGCTCATCCCGATTCTGGGCTAGGCAGACGATGGAGTAACACGTGTCTCCATACGCTCCTGCGCAAATTAATATTATCCAATAGTTTTGGCACAATTGGTTCATCCCCGGCATTTGGACTTCATATATACTTTGTTAACACTAGGAGCGCCCCTAGCGGTCAACTGACCGTCACTCACTTTATTATGCTAATTAGTGTATTCAAAACAAAACGCCAGAAGTTGAAATTTTATGACTTTTTCTAGGTACTTGTTGTTTATATTTTGGTGTGTTTTGGTTTTGGAAAAAGTAAAGAAAACAAGATTTACACGCATTTTAACTTTTCTAAACCACAGCCCTTTCTGCTTCCCCATGGAGATACATGGCGCAGGGGCGCCTGTTGTCATAGTAACCTTTCCCGGGGGTTTTTCGCGCCTTATAAAAATGTATCAATATGTTGTCATTAGACTCTAAAGGGACTTTTTTTATTATTATTTGGGAGAGAGAGAGGAGTACAAAATGAATAGAGCTGCAAGTACACGGTATGAAGCGCTGACAGTGCTTCAAGACATTGAATGAGAACAGTCTGACGGAGGTGAGAGATGTCACATTTTGAGGTAGAAAGTGACAGCGGGGAGAACACCTATAATATTCTAAATCTGAACGTAACCCCAAAGTGCATTCACGGCACGGACAGCAGTGTTGTAACAAGTCCAGAAGCAATAACGCACATGAGCGTGCGTAATGCCAGCCATACGCAGGTGTCTGTGTGCGCGCTGTCGCTCCATTCTGCCTTTTCATTCATCATCAATTACATTATTATATTTGTACATACAAGAAGGCAATAAAGCAGAATACAATATCGTAATAAAATAGAACAATTCGATGAACTATCAAGGCAGAGTGCAGATCAGAGTGCTCGTCACCCGCGGACACTGCAGGAGGAGAGCGACTGTGGGGCAGAAGCGGCCCTCATATATCAATAAGGATATAATTCTTATTTCATCCAGATAACACTGTGTGTTATTCTGCACAGCGCGCACTGCAAGGCAATGATTATAATTTTGTTCTGAGCATAAAGAGCACTGCTTGTCTCAAATAAATACAAATAAATATATACATATATTTGTCTTTCTAACGTGTCCCGTGTAAAATTGAAGATTGTACATTGACGATGGAAGCCTAGCTGATGATCTTGTGTCAATACGAATATTATTATTATCTAGATAATATTTCCCACGGTGACTTCGGCTGGAAAGAGAAAACAGTCTGGAGATGACGTAAGAAGTAGACGCATATAGCAGCGCGAAGACGTTATGGTCCTGTGCTTTTCTAAACTATCCTTTATATTGTTTGAATTTACATATTGTTACTGAGTCAAATATAACATATAGTGAGCAACCTTTTAGGTGTTTGCAAAGTTACAAAATAAATCTAGCCTGAAAAGTCATCGTAATTTTGATGGATCAGTACACGCACAATGTGTCGTCTTAGCCTTTTATTTCGACTAGAATTACAATTACTTAGCATATTTAGACAAATAATTTACACAGTTTCATTATGATCACGATTCCTTTGCAACATCAAGTTCTGGTTTAGTGAACAATCAATTTGGCAAAAGGCTGTATCAGCGCAAAATACATAGCGGTCAACTGACCGCAGGGGGCGGTTCAAGGTATGTTAAGAGCGCGGCGGTCCTAGTGTTAAGGTATATACTTTTTGATTTTTGTTGACAAAAATGTCGCACAAAGGAAGGAAAGCGAAGGCGCACCAAAGGGGGCCTGCGGATGCTACATCCCCCAGCCACAGTGAATCCTCGGGGCCGTCTGAAGTTACGGAGGAGCTAGCCACAGGTGACTACTAATTTGAAAATCGAGCACCTGGATGCTTTTCGGGAGGAGATGAAAATGTTGTTTAAGGCAGAATTACAAGAGGCATTTGGAATGCACCTGGTATCTGTCAAAAACGAACAACTTGTGCTAAAGACTGAACTTTCCGCTAGCATTAGCACTGTGACGCAAGAGGTCTCGGAGCTAAAGGCTACTGTCGCTGATATGGAGCACTCTCTCTCGACATGCACGGGCGACATTGTGTCCCTCCGCACCAAGGTGGAAAATATGTCTAAAGATCTCATCAGACTAGACAATAAATGTGAAGATTTGGAGTCTAGATCACGCCGTAACAACGTGCGCATAGTGGGAATACCAGAAAGCCAGGCTATATCCTGTGAATTTGTGTCAACACTTCTGAGAGATGCTTTTCGGCTCGGTAAGGAACCACTTGTGGACCGGGCTCACCGGGCCATGAACGCCATTCCCAGTGCTGGCGGGCGACCCCGCGCCGTAGTAACGCGATTACATTACTACTCAGATTGTGCAGAAATTCTCCGAAGGGCTAGAGAACTACAACAGATTAAGACCAGAGACATTGTCATCTCCGTTTTTCCTGACTACACTGCGAAGACGGCTCGCGCGCGTGCAGCCTTCAATGATTTGCGCCGCCAACTCAGGGACATTGGTGGAATTCGCTTTGGGATTCTTCACCCAGCCAAGCTACGCATCACGCACGACGGGAAACAACGCGACTTTATCTCCCCAGAGGAAGCAGCAAAGTTTGTGAAGACTATAACTGGATAGATATGTTTATTATTATTGTTATGGCTTACTTCAGTTAGTCTCCTTGCAGGGTAAGTTCTGTTTCGTATATAGAATTTGAAAACACAGGGGTTAAATATTCCTTTGTAGTTGTTAAAACATGCCGTTTTGAAGCACTACTGGTTTAATGTTTGTGCCTTTATGTTTAACGTTTCATTTTGCGGGAGTTATGGCTAGCTGTTAGATTTAAGTGGGTCTAACTAGTCGAGAAGGTTTATTTTTTTTCTATCGCTCCGTTAAGGAGCTTGCACTGCTGTCTCTGTCGTTTGGGGATGGGGACAACTGATGTGCGGGGGGAGGGGGGAGGGTTGGGTTCTGTTCCGCTGTTTTGATAAGCTGCATTCTGTCAAAGATTTGGTTTTTGTACTTAATCCTTTTATTTTTCTTTCCTAGTTTTTTATTCTCTTTTTATATCTTTTGTTTTGTTTTTGTTTTTCTTCTATGTGGGGGTATAATGTCAAATATACACTCATCGTTTAAATGACTGGCTCCCCAGGTACAGTTTTAAACAATATTGATGGCATTACATTTCTGACCTGGAACGTGAAAGGAATGAACAGCCCCATTAAACGTTCTAAAATAATGGCACATCTGAAACGTATCCAAGGTGATGTTATATTCCTACAGGAAACTCATTTACGAAATAAGGATCATGGTAGGCTCAAAAGTCCATGGGTGGGACAGGTTTTCCATTCGTCTTTTGATACTAAAGCTAGAGGAGTAGCTATTTTAATAAATAAGAGAATACAATTTACTCTGTCTAATTTAATAGCTGACAAAAATGGGCGATATCTAATGATTATCGGTGCTGTGTGCAACAACCCTGTTGTATTAGTTAATGTATACGCTCCTAATTTCGATGACCCAAGATTTATGCATAAACTATTTAGTGCCATCCCATCCATGAACACCCACCGGCTAATAGTAGCTGGAGATTTCAATTGTGTTATCAACCCTATTTTGGACCGTTCAAACCCCAAAACTATTACCCAATCCTCCATGTCTAGAACTATTTCAGACTTTACCGCACAGAATGCTTTAGTGGATCCGTGGAGGTCCCACTACCCAAGCACAAGAGCATACTCTTTCTTTTCTAAAGTACACCAGTCCTTTTCGCGCATTGATTATTTCTTTATAGACAGTTCTCTCCTTGCTCAAACAACTTTACCTAAATACCACCCAATAGTAATTTCTGACCATGCCCCACTCAGTATGAATATAAAATTGCCAAATCAACCGCTTTTTTCCTCACCCTGGAGGTTTAATTCTTCATTATTGTTAGACGAGAATTTTTCTGTGTTCATTAGATCTCAAATTGATGAATATATTGCCCTTAACAAAAATGACTCAATTTCTTATTCTCTTCTATGGGAATCTTTGAAAGCACATTTACGTGGACAAATAATTTCTTTTTCTATTCATTCCAATAGAGAGCGCAGAAATAGAATAACTGAGTTATTAACAAAGATTAGTGACCTAGATAATCAAATAGTTGCTCAGCCTACTCCTACTTTACACAAAATGCGAATAAATTTACAAATTGAGTTTGATCTACTCTCTACATCTGAGGCAGAACGACTCATACTTCGCTCTCGTGCTACATTCTTTGAACATGGGGAAAAGCCCAGTCGGCTTCTTGCTCACCAGTTGAAACGTCAGGCTGCTTCTAGACTGATAAATCAAATTAGAGGCACAACTAACAATTTGGCCTCTGATTCGAAAGCGATTAATGATATTTTCAAGGAATATTACTCTTCTCTATATCAATCTGAATCCACAGTAAGCCCTACTGAACTATGTGCTTTTCTAGAGGGCCTGGCTGCTCCTCAAGTGGACCCAGCCTTGGCTGAACAGCTGGATATGCCCATTCAACTTGAAGAAATCTCATCTGCCATTAAAAGCATGCATAATGGTCGGGCACCTGGCCCGGACGGCTTCTCAGTAGAATTCTATAAAGACCTGGTGGAAAAAATGTCACCACTGCTTCTTTCACTCTACAACGAATCCCTTGAACGAGGTACCTTGCCTCCTACACTTTCTCAAGCAGTTATTACTGTTCTTTTAAAGAAGGATAAGGACCCTACTTCTTGTTCATCATATAGACCTATTTCACTGCTTAATGTGGATGTAAAAGTTTTGGCCAAAGTGCTGGCGTGCCGCCTTGAAAAAATCCTTCCTTCAATTATCTCAGAAGAACAGACAGGTTTCATTAAAGGCCGGCATTTGTTTTATAATGTTCGCACTCTTTTTAATGTTATCACATCTCAACATTCCGCCACTGTTCCAGAGGTTGTAATCTCGCTTGACGCAGAAAAAGCGTTTGACCGTGTTGAGTGGCGCTACCTTTTTGCTGTGCTGAAGAAATTTGGTTTTGGTGAACGTTTCGTTTCATGGATTATGTTATTATATAATTCACCCCAGTCAAGTGTTCACACAAATGATGTCACTTCTGCTTATTTCACGCTATCTCGGGGAACAAGACAGGGATGCCCGTTGTCTCCTTTGCTGTTTGCTTTAGCTATTGAACCGTTATCAATTGCATTACGCTCGCTGGATCAGTTTAGGGGTATATATCACGTTTGGGTATTGATTTGAAACTGTCACTTTATGCTGATGATTTGCTTCTATATGTATCCAGTCCCAAAGAATGGTTTCATCTGAAAGATAAAGGGGAATACGTGCACACAAAGGATAATTATATAAACAGAAGGGAGTTACTATTAGAAGAAGAAGAAGGTCTTAATGGGGAAACTTCAGTTTGATGCATACACATACACATACACATATACATACACATATACACATACACATACATATACACACATACACACATACACATATACACAAACACATACACATACACATACATATACACACACACACATACACATACACATACACATACACATACACATACACATACACATATACACATACACACATACACATACACATACATATACACACATACACACACACACATACACATACACACATACACATACACACATACACATATACACATATACACATACACACATACACATATACACATACACATCAAAGCAAGCAGCAAACATCACGTCCGCGCTCCTTTTAGGCAAAGTGGGTTGAGTGTCTTGCCCAAGGACACAACGACAGCAGGCAATTCATTCCCAGAAACATTCTGATTTAAACAAAGCATTATTGTAAAGGATTGAAATCTAATGATATACTGTGACACTTATTTACTTCAATGTAGCCATGACAGCAGCAGTACATTTTTAGTATGTTTTATTATTTGTGACAATTACAGGATTGTGTTAACTTTACCAAGGTTTTTGAAATATATATATTTTAGCTCCCTCTGTTACATTCATATTTTAATTATTTATGTATTTTTCACAATTTAGTTTCGATCAAAATCTGAATAAAGTTTGTTTTGAATGTTTTGTGTTTTTCTAGACATTTCATATATTTAAGAAATAAAGGGTTGTGACGAATTGATAAAGTTGAAAAACAATAAGCAACTTTTTCCACATAACTCTGTCCTGTTGGATTCAATTGATAAAGTCAATCCAATGTTACACTTGTTCATCAACTCAAAAACTCACTTGTGTCCAATTAAGAACAGATATGGTTTTTTTTATCACGTTACCAACAGCACACATTTTTCCACCTAGCGGAGGTTACTGTTGTACTGTATCTAGGTTTTATAGTTATAAAAACAAAACAGGAAGTCTTTTGTGACTTAACAGTGGTTACTCTTGTCTATTCAGCTGTTATGGTCCCAGCTGGATTCGTCTGCATATCTGGCAACCTGAGTCAGGGAGAGTGGGAGAGGCCGCAGTACCACTTTTGGCCAGATGTTGACATACTTCTCCTTTAACTTTATCAATGAAATCCAACAGTTTATTTCTTAGACTCTAGGCCTTTCCTTCGACACATTTCATCCCAATTAAACCGTTCTCCTCATTCCAAGAAGACTTACCTGCTTTGATAAAGTCCACTTCCTTGGAGCCGCCCTCGTGCTCCACTCTGCACTTGAAGGAGTGGCGCAGGTCCCAGTCCTGGCGCCGGACCCGGACCTGACTGACCCCGGAGTACAGCTTGTTCTTCAGCACAGCCGGATACTGCAGCGAGTCACTGAGCGCGCTGCCGTTCTGCGTCCAGGAGAAAGACACAGCGGCGGGACGGAAGCCGGTGGCCAGGCACGTCAGCGTCACCGTGTCTCCAGATTCAGAAGTGCAGGGTCTGACCGGGAAGACCGAGGGGGCCGTGGGGGGGTCTGCAGCCACAGGACACAAGTGACAATAACAACAAAAATCAACACAAATATGGACAATGATCTGGTTCCCCCTAATCATTAATGTTTTCATCACTTCTTTTGTTTTGTGGTTTTTAAAGAATCAGTATTGCATTTTTAATATAAACTATACATTGAATATGTTGGGAGAAGTACAGTTCCTATGAAAACATTAAAAAGGAGAGTAGCACTGTTTCTGCTTTTAAGCTCAATCAACAACAGAAAAATAAAAATAAATCCCATTATAGTGTAATATGGCCACAGCTCGGAGAGAAGAAAAAAATAAATAAAATAAAACGCTACCAAAAGTGACAGAAAATTGGGAACATTTTAACTGTAATAAAACAACATTTTCCGATGGGACAAAACGTTTCGTCTCGTTTCAAGTGTGGTTCCATTTCTTCCTTATTACCGGGGAGAATTAGTTTTCCTCTACTGGCTTTTTTGCTTTTCCCTTTGGCAAATTTTGAGTCAAATGAAGACACATTTTGCCGATTTCAAGAAATTTGAACTTACTTTTTGTCGCTTTTGGCATTGTACAATTCCAAAATGAAATAGACAATAAAATGGATTTTGGACAATTACAATCCATGTCTTAGAAAAGCCACGAGAGTCTATGGTATCAACTTGAATTGAACTTAGAAGTGTTCATTTAAAAGTCTGCTTGATTCTAGTTTTTGCGACCAACTCCTGTTTATTTTAACTACGAAGTATTGCGCGCAAAAATAAATGAAAGTCCAAAGTTTACTAAGAATATACTATAGTGAGCCAACTATATGCCCAGCAGTATATTGAGCAACTACCAATATTTCTTTCAACACTAGTCTGCTGATGTGTCAAACTCTTCCATATCATATTTTTTAGATAAATTAGGTTTTTCATATTCATACAAAAAATACACACATTATTGCTTTTTCAAATATGTGCTTTTAAACGTCAGAAATACTGTCATTTACACAATCTTTTAAGAGCATTTTGTTTCTCCAGCCTATTTTGGACAGATAATATTCACGCAAATATAGATGTATTTAGAGCTATTTGTTCATTATATTCTAACTTTTAACTAAGAAACACTTGAAACCTTTGAGCAGTACAATGGAAAACAACGGTCTAACCTTTTGACGCAATGAAATGTTTCCATATATATAAAAAAACACACATTTAATTTAACTAATAAACACATTAAAAGCATCACTATTGAAAAATCAGATCACAATAGGATCGACAAACCTGATGTGACGGTGACAAGTCAAAATACCAGAGTCACAGTTTACAAAGTCAGTGATCCAACAAAAAAACATTTTGATTTCTTTTCTTGGTTCAAAGTAATTTAAATTGTTTGTTGCTTAGTACGAACAAAAGGTGAATTATTTGTGTTTTAAATAGTTTGACTTACCAGATGCAACAGTGACCATGGTTCCTTTTCCCCAGTAAAAAAAACCATAATCACAGTGCATGGTTCTGTCCTTCACGTCGTACCAAAACCAGTCTATTCTTTATTCATTGTCAAACCATAAAATTAAATAGATTTATGTTAAATTTACAAATGTTATATTGATGGATGACAGCCGTTCAATGTATGTGTTTATTTTGACACTAAAATAATCCTGTTTAAGATAAAATCAGAGCAAGTTCACACTATGTCAAAGATTGCACTAATAACTTTTGTGTCTGAAATCAAAAATAAAAATGAAAGAACATTTGTATTTTTTAGAGGTTTTTTTAAACTGTGATGACGCACAATTTTAAGACTCGTCCAACTTTCGAAGAATCTCTTTGTGATGATTGCCAATATTTTACTATTATGTTAAAATGTCACAAAAAGCACACCAATTAAATAGAAAAATACATCATAACGATTCTTTTTGTACCTGATGTGACGGTCCCCGCAGATCCTTTTTACCAGGATATATAGACTTTACACATCGCAGTGGATTATTTCAATGTTATGTCAACTCTAAACAACTGAAGCATAAAAAATGAAAACAAATAAATGAAATATTGACATTTTGGACTTACCAGACGTTACAGTGACCTGTGTTCCTTTTCCCAACACTTCTGTCGTACATCCACATGTTCCACAAATACTGCTTTAATAAAAAACTGTGGAGCCTGCATTATGAACTATTATAAGTCATTCCCAGAGGTTTTTATTTCCTTTTCAACTAGACACTAGGTTCCTCTTTTTCTCCAGTGCTCCCAGCTGTCGTTTTGAATTTGTCAAACGCACAACGTAAAACACTAAGCATAAGGATTATTGGCTTTATCCAAAATGATCAGCCACAAATCAAAGGCGTCTCATAACTTTGGAACAGGAATTTCAAATATAATTGCTAAGTAGGGCAGGGCTTGTTTGTACTGTGATGGGAGACCTTTGGGAAAGTTGAGTTTTTATTCTTGATATAACATTGTCCATCATCAAAAGCAGTATTTCTCTTCATTGATGCTAATATCATGGTCTTTTGACACAAACACATCCCTGCTCCATCTTTACACATGCTCTCATTACATACTTGGTGCACTTTAATGTTCAGAGGAGCTTTTGCTTTTTTAAAACAAAAATCATGCCTTCTAATTTGTTTTGGCAATTTCCCGAGTGAAGGGATGTTATTTATGCTGTAGCTAAAGTTCCACAACAGTAAAACACTGGGTTCTGAAAGATCTGTCACATGGTGGAACGGAGGAGGACTCAAAATGCAGGAAATGCAAAATAATGATTTAATAAAGATGATAAAATAGGTAAAAACATCCTCAAAACCCAAACAAAAGTCAGGATCCAGAAAAACAGACGGACAAAGACAAGCAGAGACTATGGACCAAAGCGAGAGGAGCACAGGGCACATCATAAATATTATTATTATTATTTTAAAGATAAATGTATCTTTAAAAAAACTAATATTTATGAATCAGTTTTGCATTTTAAATAATAAATTATAAATTGAAAATGTAGGGAGAAATACAGTTCCTATAAAAAACAAAAGTAGAATAGCAGTGTTAACATTCTTATCTGTTTCTGCTTTTAAGCTCAATCAACAACGAAGAAGAAAAAATAACCTTGGTTTTCCATAATAGTGTAGTAAGGCCACGGCTCCATTCATTACTCAAGATTTTCAGTCCATTTTGAAGAATTGTTTCTGCCGTTGTTCAGTTCCATTGAAGCATGAGTTTTTGTATGGGTGTATTTCACTGTGGGTCCCATAATACCCCCGTACACAGTGACACAGAGACGTACAAAAACCACAGGGCGTACACCACCCATTTCTAATTTTACCACGAATGCCTGCGTACATGGAACTAATATTTTATTGTTTTTGTGAATGCTTTTGGAAATGAAGTTTAAACATTTAATTGAATTTTTCCTTCTTTGTGGTCTTGTGTTCCATCTGAAACAAACCCAATCATCATCTTCATTTATAATTATATATTTTTACTACAACAATTAATAATATAATAATGTGTGTTATTGGTCAATATGCAATTTCTAAATTGTACATTTAAATTATGATTTCATTCACGCATGGATCTGGTCCTCTGCACACACTGGTTCTCCATGCGCCCTGGTCCCGTTCACTCACAAAAGTTGGGCATACCCAAATGTCTTTGCTTATTTAAAAACACATCTTACATCTCACATGCTTGTGTGATGCATCATTTTAAAGCTAGAGCCTTTTAGTTTATGTAAATATACACTAAAATAATGTTTGTCATTCCTATTTCACTCTGCATTCTTTGAAGTTTGGGGAAAAAACCTGTTTTTTTAGCCTCACCTAAAATATTCAATGTATAAATGCCCTAAAAAAGGCATACTTCATTGGAAGAAGACAATATTCTAACCCTATGGTCATTGTGTGGTTGACAACAACTGTGTAAAGTTTCAGACTTCTAAGTTTTATAGTTTTTATGCAGTTTCTCTTGTTCATCAAGTAGTGCCATTCGGAACCAATTTGGCACAAAGTGTGCCAAATTGCTTTAGTGACTTTTCATCATCATAAAAACCATCTTTTTTAGTTTTGGTACTTATAAGTTACTAATCTGTTTGAATTTTTTTATTTTATTTTTTTCAAAATACATTTTTTAGTAGTGTAAATGCATATTAAATATGCCCAGCAACGAAACAGCGTCTTTACGCACGCTTTTACTGTGAAAATTAAAAGAGGTTCCTATATGTCCCACCCATCAATAGAAAGCTTTTTTTATTGGCTACTTATACATCATTCAGCAATAGCACATTCCGCTAGCTGCCCAGGCTAACAACAAACCGAAACTTCGCAAACGCATGCTGCTCATCATATTCGCAAGGGGATTGCAGACAGACTGCTCCTATCTTTTCAAAGCCAAAAAAGTAAAACAATGTTAAGAAATTGTGTGTTTTATTAGCATATTAATGAATGTGACTATATTCAAGTTTAGATGACTTTGGGTTGACCTACATCTGAGTGTGTGAAGTCTACAACTGAGGTGTTGAAACCAATACAATACAATACAATACAATACAATACAATTTATTCTTGTATAGCCCTAGGTCACAACAGAAGTCATCTCAGAGACTTAAAGGAGCAATATGTAAAAATCTGGCCAAAAGTGGTACTGCAGTCACAGTCAATATTTTGTAGTCCTCTCCCACTCTCCCTGACTCTGTTGCCAGATTCACACCAAATCCAGCAGCAAACACAGGGAATTATTTTATCAGTTGTTTGTCCGTCTCCATTCACATTGCCATGACAGCCGTGCTAATGCTGAATGAATGTTTTGATTAATGTTTTTTTATTATTATTATTTGGACATTTGAGATAAAAAACAAAAACAAAATAAAAGCAATGTAATTATACATAGTTTATGCAAAATAAATAAGCAATTGATGTCCAAAATAGGAGTGGGAAGAATGGATGTTGGAACGTATTTCTTCAGCGTATCAACATCAGGGTTTGCTCAAGAGGATATCACCTTTCAATTTGATTTATTCCCTATTTTTTAGACAAACATGTAAAAGTCCCACATCAAAAAGAGACTAACATTATTTTAATTGGGGTACATGTGGTCTTAAATGATTATTTTTACAATTAAGCTATAATCTGCAAAAAAACGTCTTGACCTTCATCTTTTACCGTTTTTAGAGCAATCTGTCATAGAATGTGATAACATGCAATAAATACAAAAAGACATAGCCCGGGATCGAACCCGGGTTCCTGCATCGTAAGCGCATAGCTTAGACCACTACACCAACGATTCACACGAGCAGGAACACTGTGAAGAACGGAGTGAAACTAGAAAATTCTGCATCACACGTGAACTTTTATCAGCTGTCTCAATTGTTCAAAGGCATCCCGATATAAATCCTCGTTTTAGTCTTTGTTTTGTCATTAATGATTTGAGAGTCATAACAAGACCTTTTTTAGTTCTGCGGCACATGTTATTTTACCACTGAGATTAATGAGCCGCGCGGAGTTCTGGCAACGCGATCACGGACTTACATGACACTTCCTGATTGGCGAAACGGCGGAGGGTAGGACATCAAAATCAAAACAATAACAACTTTTACGGGTCGTAAAACTAATTTTGATAATCAAATATCTCGGCTGAACTACTGTTATCAGTTAAAGATGAATTCGAAAAGAGTATGATTTAATAACACCTTTTGAAATATTCGGGTCATTTAATGATGACTTGAAATGCAAATATTACATATTGCTCCTTTAACAAAACCATTGAAATCACCAACACAGATCAGAGAATCAACAGTTTAAATAACGTGAAAAATATAAAGCACACACAGAAGAAAATGTCCATACATGTAGTAGAATGCTAAAGTGTCCTGATCATCACCAATCCTTTCTGTTGGACACTAACTGTCCAACAAGACCCTCCTGCATCGACAAGGAAAAACTCTTAAAAAACCCAATGGGAAAAAGTGATAAACCTTGGGGAGAACTAGGGAAACCCACAGGGAGGGAGACCCATTGAGAAAGGGATCCGCTCCTCCAGACGGACAGGCTAATGATTTAGGACCTAAGCTAGCTACAGAACGTGGACCAGTGGCCGCTGAACGTGGACAGGTCCGGTGCAGGACTGAAGCACTCCCAGGCGGGTCGGGCGGGGCAGTCCGCAGGTGTAGATGGAGAAGGCCAGGCTCAGAGGTCCCGTCATCGTACCATGAAACAGACAATGGGACAACGGGTGAATAGCAATGAACAAACTACAGTCAAAATCCTAATAATGGTAAACAGGTAAAGTAGGAAGGAGGAGAGGATAGTGCTCAAGTTACCATACTTCTCCAGCAGGGGGCTCCCTATGCAGCTTGACTGACAGTCTGAGGAGTTTAACCTTCCCTAAGTCTTACCTTCCTAGCCATATGCTAAACTAAAGAGGACTGTTTTAAACCTAGCCTTGAATAAAGAGAGCGTATCTGAAAGGAGGTGAGACAGCAGCAGCCACGGCTAGGCTAGTCTAGGCTACAGCA